TGTGCTCCCACTTCCCTCGTTAACCCTCTGTGTATTTATGTCTGCGTCTCCCTCAGTTCCGTGTCGCGTTCTCCCTCATGCTGTGTGGATCTCCCTGTGTCTCTCTGCGAGTGCTTAGTTTGTCGTTCCCAGTTTAGTTTTGTATTTCCTGCGATCTGCCTCTCCAGCATTAAAGCTGTGCTTTTTGAGTTCATCCCCTGAGTCTGTGAGTTTTGCATTTTAACTAATAATAATAACTAGTTACCGTGCTCATTACCACAATAATAACATAGTTACTGTAACGCGTTACTTAATAACGCGTTAGTCCCAACACTGATTATGGGTAATCCTAATCTCTCACTGAGGTAGCTCCTGTGACTGGCCAGCACATCATGGAGTGGGTGGCAGATAAGGAAGATAAGGACAATGGCAGCATTGTCCTTATCTTGGACAACATCCACTTCAGTCTGTGCATCCCCGACCCTCAACCTGCTCCCTCAGCATGCAACAGCATGGAGGACGGCACTGGCCACAATAGACTCGTAGAAACTCCTGAGCATTGTCCGAAAGAGGACGGTCCCTTGTGGTGCCACTGTGTTGCTGATCACCTTGTCAGACACGCAATGTGGAAGACGCACATATTGTGGTCTTCTTGTCAGGTATTCAACAATCCAGGACACCAGAGAAGCATCCACCTGCATCGCTGTCATCTCCCAGGAGGGTCGGCCTGATGGTGCTGAAAGTACTGGAAAAGTAAAAAAAACATGACCCTCACAGCGCTCACCGGCTAGTCCAGATGGGCGTAGACACGATTGAGCAGGTAGATGATGCCGTCCTCAGCTCAAAGGCGGGGCCGGTAGGCAAAATGAAGGAGATCCTGATGTGGTCTGACTATGGGTTGGAGCTGGTCCAGAATCCAGTGATGGTCTTCATGCCATTCCACACCTCGCTCATTCTGTTCTGGTGAAGTTTCCACTCCAGCTTCGTCATGTAATTGTCCTTAGCCTCTCTGATCTTGTCCTTCAGCAACACCTGGATCCTTCTCACCTCCTCTTTATTATTTATTCCTATAATTTATAATCTCTTTCTGCTATTTGCACATTTTTTTTACTGTAAATTTCTAAGGTAAATCTGTAAATTTTGTATAACCTGTAAATTGTAAATACTGTAAAACCACTGTCATTTAATGGTCGGGCATTGCATTGTACAGCTACAAGCATTTCACCTCATGTCACACTGTGTATGGTTGTGTGTGTGACAAATAAAAATTTGAATTTGAATTTATTGCCCCCTCTGAAAGCCCTCTTCTTGTCGTTGAGGAGTGTACTGATGTCCTTAGTCACCCACGGCTTGTTATTTGGGTAACAATGGTCAGTCTGAGCTGGAATAATGGAGTAGGTGCAAAAAGTTATCTAGTCAGTGAGGCTCAAAGAGTGTCTCCTCATCGGTCATCTCAAAACAGCCCTGTAGTTCTGCTAAGGCCTCCTCTGACCACCTCCATTACAGTTGGTACGTCCATGGGTCTGGCCAACAAGCCGGCAGGCATCAGAGCGATCAGCTGATCTCTGGAGTAATCAAAGCGTGTGGTGTAGCTGCTGCAATCCCATTCCTCAATGAAACTAACAGTTCCACAACAAGGAGAAAAAAGACTTGCTCGACCCACATGTTTGAGAGAAAGCTATTAAAACAAAATAACACTAATACTAAGTAAAAGAAAAAATAGAGAAAAAGTAGGAGAAACTGAAACAGGCTGCATGCAGGTTGACGAATGCGCAGTCATGCATATCAGGAATATTTTTGGATCAATGTTGTTTACATGATATATCTATGGTTTACATTTCTAAGTGTTGTTTATTTGCTGATGACTTTTTTGTTGTGGGAATTTTCAAGCTGCTTCTGGAAACAGGAAATGGTTGATCTGCTCTGTTCATGTTGGAAAAACAAAATGAATAATATTTGGAACTGCTTGCTAAAATAACCACAGAAAAATGACAATGGATTCAAAACTGACATGAAACTAAATTCTTGGGAGTTATTTAGATAATTTATGTACAGTTTGCATTTTGTCAAAGCTGAAAAGTCTAAATCTATTTATTTTGTACAAAGTCAAAGACTTTGGCAACAATCTCCATGCCTTTAACATTATTCACTTATTGTTTTATGCAGAGGTGGGAAACACCCGACAAACATCAACTCAATGGTTTTATTACGAAAAAGAAAAAGTCATATGAATGGTAACAAACAGACCTGAGTCACAAATCCATTCCTGATTCAACTAAATATGCTGAAACTCAAACATTTAGTAGATTATAACCTAATTCAAATGACATACAAAGCTTATAATGGTCAATTCCCACTTGACGTTCAGAATTTGTTCAAATATGGATAATAAATCCAAATGTAAAGGAAGTTGGAGTTTAGGTTAGGACCAGTGTGAAGGGTCTTTGTCAGGGGGTTAAACTTCCTGTGTTTGAATCAGAGCTTAGAGAATTTGATTAATTTTTCTTATGCAATGATCTCTCTGTTTTGGATCAGGGTCTGTGTTATATAAGCTTTAGCTAAAACCTACATCTCTTTAGCTTGACATTGAATTTCTCTTGTTTAATCGTTTAATCTCTGAGGATATAAATGAAGCCAGTAAAGATAAAAAACTGTGTGAAACTACATCTTTTTGTACTAAAGCAGACGATCAGAGAAGCATAGCAGGAGGTTTCCACTCGTGGTTTACAAGGATGGTTACCACAGAGACTGACAGGGGTGAGTCTGAGCTCACACTCAGCTACTGTGCTAATGTGTGTGCGTTACTGCCATATTGTCTCTAATCTAGTCGACAAGAACACAGGACAGTAAGAATCTGAAAACCAAGAAGACGTCTTACCTCGTTAAGCTGTCCGATCACATTAATTAGTAAAGGAGAAGCATGGAGGGAGATAACAGTCATGAGTGGGGCGCTCAGCTGGACAGCTGGGATTCAGTCATGAGCTCACGTGAACTGATTACTGCATCAATACTACAATCAAACCTAGGTTAAACCACAAAATCTGCTCTGAAACCCAGACTGGAATCAAGCTGGAACCAGACTGGACTCAGACTGGACTCAAACTGGACACAGGCTGGACCCAGACTGGACTCAAGCTGGAACCAGACTGGACTCAAGCTGGACCCAGAGTGGAATCAAGCTGGAACTAGACTGGACTCAAACTGGACACAGGCTGGACCCAGACTGGACTCAAGCTGGACTCAAACTGGAATCAAGCTGGAACCAGACTGGACTCAAACTGGACACAGGCTGGACACAGGCTGGACCCAGACTGGACTCAAACTGGACCCAGACTGGACTCAGGCTGGAACCAGACTGGAGTCAAGCTGGACTCAAACTGGACACAGGCTGGACCCAGGCTGGACCCAGACTGGACCCAGACTGGACTCAAACTGGACACAGGCTGGAACTAGACTGGACTCAAGCTGGACTCAAACTGGACACATGCTGGAACCAGACTGGACTCAAACTGGACCCAGACTGGACTCAAACTGGACACAGGCTGGATCCAGACTGGACTCAAACTGGACACAGACTGGACACAGGTTGGACCCAGACTGGACTCACTTGTGGAAAAAAACTGGGCTGATTCATGTTTTTGAGAGGCTGCCATCACTGAACAGACGGATGGACGGAGAGTGAGACAGAAACACTGGAAGAACTCCTCACTGCTAACTTTCTGCAAATGGAGGGTGAAAACATTCCCTGTGTGTGTGTGTGTGTGTGTGTACTCAGGATGTATAATGGATTAGCCCTGAGGGCAGCCCGCTAGCAGGCAACCAGAACTGAACACACACACACACACACACACACACACACACACACACAC